ATGTGTGGGTGGTTGAGGCCAGCTGCTGCTACAGCAGAGCTGGAGAAGATCTATTACACTGGTGCTGCTGTTGCTGTGGTGGAGCAGAGGCAGTTGACCTACTGCTGTGTAGGTGTGTGAGGATGACTGCGATAATGGTTGTGCAGACCAAGTATCGCCATATGCAAACCTTCTACAGGCAAGGCACACAGCCTGGATCTCAAGACACTGCTGTGTCATTATTCAGCTGCAGGGAAAAAATTGGGGCTGGATTCGCACTCCCTTCTGCTACTGACTAGCAGCCTCTTCTAGGTCCTTGTCTTTGTTTATGCTGTGTCTGCAAGGTCTGGTACTCAGTAAATGTCACTTTCCTCTTTCTTACTATTTTCGTAAGGTATTGCAGCCTGAATGGAGTGGATTAGAACTCAGTAGTAGAAAGACAGATTTAGGTATCTAGTTTGTTAACAGAACTCTGGTATTAGCTGATACAATGATCCAGGAATTGCTACTCCATGCTTCATGGGGGATTGGTTCCTAACTACAGGATGTACTAAAGTAGGACATTAGTAAACTGGGGACTGCCTGACTCTACATTAACAGATAAGGGATAAATCTGTGAGCTTTTGCAGGTGCCCTGAAAGTTAGCAGTAGTTTATTGCTATTTTCTACAATCTGCAGGGCAATATTCACAGCACATTCTGGTAGCATAGTGCCTAAGGCACTTGACTGCTAACCAGAAGGCTGGCAGTTCAAACCCATCAGCCACTCCTTGGAAGGAAGGTTGGGCAATCCTACTTCTGTAGTGATACTGCCTCGGAAACCCAAGGAGGGGTCCCTATGAGTCAGGGCCAACTTGATGGCACATAACAACAATAACGGTATCTGCTATATAATGTTCTAGGAGCTCTGGTAGCATAGTGCTTAAAACACTTGACTGCTAACCAGAAGGCTGGCGGTTCAAACCCACCAGCCACTCCTTGGAAGGCAAGGGTGATCTCCTTCCGTAGTGATACTGCCTCGGAAACCCAAGGAGGGGTTGCTATGAGTCAGGTCCGACTTGACGGCACATAACAACAACAACAACATATACTGTTCTGGTCATTATACCTGTCAAAATGTATCCAGTGAAAATTCTTAAAGATTTCATACATCACACATTAGTAATGGATTCTAATGAGTCTAAACCAAACCATTAATCCTTTAGCTTCTTACTGTAATTAGACATTTCTCCCAAATACAAAGCATCCTAGGAAGTGAACGGAAAATGCTACGTGAAATGGAATGCTTGAAATGAGTAAGCTCTTCAAATAAAACTTAAGTTTTTAAAAAATTACAAGTTTGACAGCTGGACTGGTTTTGACTTGTTCTTAGACCCTATTCAATGAACTGCTTAATATGTTAACAGCACAATGCTAAATAAGTTACTAATACTTCTATTACTGTTACTGATACAAATTTCTACTTTGTTAATGAGAATTTAGTATTCCAGAATTGAGAACTTAAGGGAGGGAAGGACCTGGGAGATAGATTTCTTATTTATTTTAAGGGCTCTTTTCATCTTTTATTAAGCAGTGGTAGGAGTACTTGAAGGGAAATAAGTAGTTCAAAGATATGGTAGCTAATTTTTCACTATGAAATAAACAAGAAATGGTTCTGGAAGAATACTTTAGAAAACACAGTTCTTATCCCATTTGTGATGTGGCATGCAACAGTATACAACAGACCCAATAAACTTGCTTGCAGGTCAAAGCAAACGAGTACCAACTTTATAAAACGCAACGTTAGGAAACTGTGGTAGATTGGAACAGGAACTATAGAATGGTAGGGAGAGAAGCTTGTTAAGAGTTTAAAAAAACAAAGCCTGTTGCCATCCAGTCAATTCTGACTCATAGGGACCTCAGAGGACAGGGTAGAACTATCCCCACACAATTCCTAAGGCTGTAAAACTTTACTGAAGTAGACTGCCACATCTTTCTCCAGTGGCACGGCGTCTGGTTTGAACCTTTGACGTTTTGGTTAGCAGCTAAGTACTTAACCACTACGCCATCAAAGCTCCCTTCTCGTCAGATAATACAAACTAATTAAATATGCATGGTAAATGCAATTATTAGCTGAAGGCAAGCCACTGGATCCAGAAAAGAACCAAAACTCCCTTCACCTCTATGTTGTTTCTAAAGATCAGTTGTACAACTGCGGCCAAGCTGAAGACTCAGCAATAGAAATTTTGTATGGACAGAACATTCTCTTCATTGCCACCAATTTGTTTCACTTAGGAAGAATGATACCACTTGTATGAAATAAATTCAAGACAAAGAAAGAGCTGATTTAAAAAATTTAAGAACCACAGTATAATCTTGTTAAGATTGCCAAGTACCAACTTTACTTTTGCTACAAGCAGGCTTGAAACAAAGTCAATATTCTGGTTTTGGCACACAGAACTCTATAAATAGAGCACTGAAGGCTTTTGGGTTTCCAATAGTTGACAAGTGAGTAAAAATTCTCCTTTTAAATAATACCAGCTTTTTTTCTTTGTACTGGCTACAATCCCCAGACGGCATCTTTTCAAAGGCAACTGGATAAACTAAGATGCTACAAACTTTTGGACCTCTTTCCCAAGAGCATACCACTCTCTTTTCCTCTGCTTATTTTTTATATTTTAAGAGGGGGGTATGTTCTGATGGAGACGGTAGTTTTCAACAGTGTAGTAACGATACTCTTCTGCTATACTGAAAGAGAGCAGCACTCTTTCCTCCAGAACTTCTTGCACATTACCAGTATCTATCTCATAGGTGGACAAGTATTTAATATCTGTATCACAGACTGAACACTGAAAGGTAGCAGTATAATTCAATAACAAATAACCTTTTCCAAAAATGTTTTATTGCTATAATTTGTGATTTTCAACCATTAAAACTGGAACAAAACTTAAGGGTTCTGCCTCCAAGAGTGCAATATAGCCATTTCAAGGAACTTGTTTTTCAATTTAGGTTTGACAGTGGATTTGACATAGTTTAGATGATAGCACAATGGTATCAAGAAAACTTGTCTGTAATTTAAAGTTGAGCATAAGTTAGAAATGGAAGACTGCCTTCCATTAAAGATGTGTCTTACATTGTATTCTCTTACCAATTTCAAAATTTAGGGCTGGTAATTATCTAAAACAAGTCTGTATCTATCGTGTAAAGAAGTTCAACATTTCATTTTTACCTTTTCCCAAAGAGATAATACACACAGCAACTGAAATAATCCTAGACATCATACAGAAGAGAGACTTCCCTGAATTTATCTCAACCTACCTGAATCTGGACCACACTTTCTTGGCCTCTTTCACAGCTTTCATGTCACAGCTCTAATAAGAATACACCATGGAGTACAAACAATGCTGTGAAAAACAAGGGCCTCATAAAGCCCAGAAAAAAGCTATTCACTAATATTGGGACTTTTAGTCATGCTAATATAGATCACACTTTATTCTTATATATAAATACAGAAAAATGTTGAAACTTTATGACTCAACCATCTAATTAAATCTGAGTAAACTAACCTAGTCATATTTTGTTTTTAAATGAGAAATGACAAGAGTAGTTGAATATAAAGAAAAACAAAAAGAACTTTACTTTCCTATGTTAATACAGGTCAAGGGACCCTTTCTTCTCAAAAGGGCTGATAACACCAATCCTTAGCAATAAACATAAGGCACTTGTTTAGATTACAACATCACTCCATTTTTTCCCATGTGTTTTTCTAACCCTGTTTTCGCCCCCAGAAGCATTCGAAATAGAATGAATGAGACAAATGTGAGATGATCCAGTTAATTCTACTCAAAGCAAGAGAGTTCAGTACAATATTTTAGAGGAGTGATGCCTGGACATAAAATCAACCTAGTCAAGATCTTCTGACACCAGACAATGTATCCACTATGAACTGAACCTGAAAGAAAATAAAAGATTTATTCAATAGTTCCAGTAAAATTGGGTTGAAATACAATATACATGTTAGGAATTTAGCTCCTCAGGATGGCATCTGCATCAAGAGTTCTGAGTACTTGTGAGTATTCATTCTAAGACAATCTACATCATTTGAACATTGTCAAGACAAATATATGAATTTCATTTCAATATACAGTAGAGTTTAAACATAATTCACATATACACCCCCCATTGTATGGCTGGTGCCTCCTCCAAACACCTCATTAGTGGCAGAGGTAGCACTAGTGTTCTTTCCCAACAATAAGAACTTCAGTTGCCACTCATAGGAGAAGTTGAAAAAGAGTTTTTTTTTTTTTTTTGCCATCTGTAAAGATGTTCCTGAGACAGGGCCAGTTAATAAAATATAACAAAGCACTGGAGTTGTTTGTACTTCTCTTTACATCACTAAATTGTTAGACTGGGGTGTGGAATACAGTCATGTACTATGAAAGGTTGATGTTTAGCACAACTGTTCAGTCAGTAAAAGGATCAGGTTTCCTTAAAATCCCCTCTATACTTTCTATAAACTAAAAGTACCACAAAAAAGGTCAGTTATATACACAATTGATTCATTTTTACTTAATCTCTTATTTGCTCAGATCCTGCAAATTCTATGAGACTATTGAGCCTGAGGCTAGTTCTCAGTGTACAGGGTTAAAATGTTAAGGCTCATTTTCTCAACCAAAATAGCAGTTTTCAGTTTTTCTTTCAAATAATGGATTACATTCATAGTACCTGCCACCCTCAAAGAAATCTTACTGCAGGAGCAGCACTGCACTTGCATCATAGAATTTCCCTGACACCAGCATTTAGCCCATTCTACAAAGCTTTCATCCATACTAGTAGCCGTAATAACATCAACAGGTTAACTTTACACACTTTACATTGCCTCTGGCTAACACCTCTGTTTCCACCTGTGTATTTTCATAGAAGCCCAACACAGATTAGTTGAAATATTCACACAACTGTTTTTCAAAACAATTTATTGCGTCATATTTGGTACCTTATGTTTGACAACAAAAAGGAAATTACATCTGTAACTGCAAGAAAAAGAAGCTGGTCTGTTATTGAGGAAGAAAAAAAAAATCTTGGGCCCTTTAAAAATTACAAAGTCTTGGGCTTGCTTGAAACAACTGAGCAAGAAATATATTCTTAGAAATGTAGGGCTTCAAGTATTACAAACCTGTGACACTGTGGAAAAATTCCAGAGGTATCTAAACTGCAGCACTTTTTTTTCTGCATATCGTGAACAAGGCCTGCTGAGGTTTTTTACTATTAGTCTCTTGATCAGTCATAGAATGGTAGTCAGGAGTTCTGCTCTTTAACTTCAAGCCGTGGTAGATTTTCTTTTTTCACTCTGGGGTGAAAATTCATGCTTGCTAATTAGTTGGTGCCACATCACAGTGCGTTTGGTTCTTGCATTACAGTTTTAACAAGTTTGGCCAAAACAATGCTGAAAAGGTTTGCATTGTTATTTTATTTCTTCAAGTTTTCGTTAAAATTGAGATTGTTCCAACTGGTTCCTTCAGTTAAAAACTGTGGTACAAGAACACCAAACTGATCATGTACAGTGAATTTTGGAAACACAACAAGCATATTGAACACCCTCTAGGTTTCTCAGTAATTCTGCTTGGTATCCATATGTCCCAGTTTCTACAACTCAAAGATCTGTTGTAGGTTTCTCTGTAAATAGTGATTCACATTGCATACTTCCTATGGTCAGAATCAACCCCGTAACAAAATCAGTCAGATGCTAAAGCCCCAACAACTCTTTGTGCTCAGTGAAAGAATCCAGTGCTAAAACAGCATTTATGCTGTCTGAGATATAGTAAAATCTCACAAGACAAATTTAAAGTAATATTTCCGCCACACACCTGCTTTGTTAGCTGTTAACAGCCTCCAGATTTTATATAAATTAGTTTAAAAACATGGATGGGTAGGTAGGAATAGGATAAGGTATTTTTTTTTTAACCTCTCAATTTTAGCAGCTTTTAATTTTTTAAGAAACTGAACCTATATCCTGTAATATGTTAGATATTTTATATATACTTTTTCAGCAGGATAAAAAAAGTAAAACACTATTTGAAGGCAAGAACATTTACTCCTCTCATTCTGTGTAAGTTAGAGCAATGCAGCAGGTGCGTGACAAAAATATTGTACACTAGATATGGTCCAAAGTCATTCCATTTGCTTATTTAAGATGTTCAAATCTCATTGGCCAGTTCTTCAGTTTCTGCAGAACTATCTCCATTAACTGTGATCTTCATATCCTCTTCATATCCAGGAGGCATGAAAGCCAAAGCATAAGGGAAAAGCTTATGACAATTTGCTCTATAAACTTCAGCAGCTTCTTTACAGTCTCCTAGGCTACCATCACACAAGGCTTCCAATACCTCCATACATGTCTAAAGAAAGACAAAAGGTCATGTTATAACTTATAAAAAGTTTTTACTGTGAATTTATTAGACATTTCAATAAGAGCAACAGATTTCCAAAGGAAGGGATAAATGTACATAATTAAGGAAAACAAAAGCATTCATTCTCACCTATACATTCCATTAGAAAGTTTTTCAAAACCTAATTTAACTGTTCCTTCAGAAGTATGAGATTATACAAAAGGATGAATGTATAATCAGGGCAAAAGACCAGGGTGAGACAAGTGAGGTGTCAACTGTGCTATACTTCATGAGGCCCTCACCCTCACCAAGGGCATGATCCTGAGAGTCAGTGCATCCTTAAATTTTGCACTTTGACTCAGCCTAGCCCTGAACTGAGTATAAATGTCTTAAGTTTACAATATCAATTATTGTATACTTAATCTTCTAATGTTTTCTGGAGGCCCAAAGCCAATCTGTAGAATCAAACATTGTTTTTAATCTTTTATCCAACCAAATTAAAGAGAATCTTAAGGCACATCTGGTAAAAAAGCAGAAAAAAGTGTCTCAAATATAAAAGTGAGTATCTACCAGAAAAATCAAATCAGCTCATGAAAAATGGCAAGTTTTTCAACAAAATCCCCAAATAGGTCTGCTTCTCGTATTTTTAAATATTTCACGTTGACTTGTATTTTCTCATGTTTTCTTTCTTTATATTCTTTTCACTTGGAAAGCACTACTTCTGTCTCTCAGCAAGTACTGTTTTTACTTGATAAATTATTTTGCAACATACGCATCTATCTTTTATTCTACTTAATCTAGTATTACATTTCAAGCCATAAATATTTTAATTTTACTCCCTGAAATGACACATCTAAAATGTCAGAATCTTCAGAGACCACTTCTTGCTCAGAAATACAGATATGAATGAAAATAAAAATGAACTATGGGATGTATATGATTTTACTAAAACAGTCTAAAAAACAGATATAAAACGTAACAAATTTCATACACACAATCCCAAATGACTTTAAGATAAAGTAAGTTTTTGAATCAGATTCATAAGGGTTTGGAGAACACTATGCATAATAACAAAAAAAATACTTCTTGGTGAAATTTATTTTCTTGTTGAAAAGAGAAACAAATTGTAAGCAGTACTCTTACAGAGAGATTATGAAAAACTTTTACCTGGAGGTTTCTGTTATTGAGGGATTCGTCAAGTGTTGTTGCCAATTCTATAGCTCGCTTCTGACTAGAAGGATCTAAATAATACACCATTTTGGCAGCTAAAAATGAGGGGGAAATACTTATTTTATATCAAAGTAAAATCAACATCTTATCTTCTATCCCTTCAAATATAAAATGTTAGGTATATATAGGCACACTGAGTGTAGCACTTTATTAGAAAAATGCTAATAGCCTTTGAAAAACTGTTATTAAAAACAATCCTAAGGGAGCTATTCAAGCTAGAATGGTTAAGATAAAGTATATCTTCCCAGAGTTATATAAAATGTATGTAAGGAAACAGGCACAATAAAAGAGAGTACGAAGAAATTCACCAAATATTCTAATAAGATTTGTTTTTGTGTGGTAGGGCCACAGACAACTTTCTTTTAAAAATGAGCATAATAATCTGGGGTGAGGGGAATACTTCATTAAATGTGAGGGGGAATACCCAACCTTGATGGCATGAGCCATCTACTTGGATAGAGCAGCTGCTAGGCTACTTAGCAGGTTATTTTAAAGCACTAATAAAGCATACCGATGTGATCCCATAAAGTCCAGATTTTGTTTCAATGGCATAGATCCTTGTGCCTTAGAATTCCCATTGATTGTGAGATGGTTTCAATTTTAGCATTGCCAAGTTTAATACTTTACATAAATATAAAAAATGAAAGCTGATAGCCACATCCATGTGAATTTTAGGAGCATGGTGATGAGAGAAAGCTTCATCTTCATTGTATGTAATATATTGCTAAATTCAATTATACTTACTTCTTTATAATGCAGAACCAGGGAAACTACTGACCTTAATTCACAGTGATAATTTTGTTTAAGAAACTGAAAAATTTTAAGAAGTACATTTAAGCTGCATGTCTGTATGACATTCAAATGTGATATATATACATAATGCCCATTTGATGCTAAAAATGTGACCTTGCCATTGATTCATTAAAATAAAACGTGAACTTATTTCAAAAGGCGAACAGAAGGACAAAATAAAGCGATTACCTGATAATCTGTGTGGCAATGAATCAGAATTCCTTTTCAGAAAAGTTTCATTAAAATTCTTTGGATTTGTTGCTCCAAAAAGACGATTCATTTCTTGTTTTAATACTGTCCTAACTGTATCAGGTAAATCTTTACTTTCACAAACTGCTGAGTAAATTAAAACACAAACTCTCTTAGCAGTTAGATACTCTAATAAAGTTTGTAGTTCAAAAGTAATTTATTTGTTGAAGCTAATGAAACAGTTAACTATATACAAAGACTAAATAAATAAATAATAAATCAACATTAAAAGAGCTTACCTATGTAAATTTAAAGAATGTCTGTCAGCAGAGCAATCTAATCAATGTTTATTTTAAAAGTATTCAAAGACATTTTATTGACAAATGAATCATTTCCAGAAAGGAATGGGAAACAAAATAAAGAAAAACGTAGTAGTTTCACAGCCTTCTAAGCCCTTTAGGCTGCTCCCCCTCAACTCTAAAGAGGGCCTGGAAAGCAGGGGCTTGATGTCACCTACATGGTATAGAATGTCACAGAAAATATGTAGTACTAAAGACAACAGAGCTCTGGTAGCATAGTGCCTAAGGCACTTGACTGCTCACCAGAAGGCTGGCGGTTCAAGCCCACCAGCCACTCCTCGGAAGGAAGGTTGGGCAATCCTACTTCCGTAGTGATACTGCCTCGGAAACCCAAGGAGGGGTCGCTATGAGTCGGGGCCGACTCGACGGCAAACAACAACAACAACAACAACAACAAAGACAACAGAATTTCCATCACTTTCCCCATTTCCCTCTATACTCAAATAAGGTTCTACAAATACATGTCTGTTAAATACGACTGATTTATTTTCAGAGGCTATGTGAATTGAGCTATCATTATATAGTAAACTCCAAAAGATTAAAGAATTTTCTTGTAATAAATACAGTGTAGTTACCATATTCCCAGTCCTTGGAATTTGGAAAGGAAAAAGTGGACCCCAACTCCTTTGGATTAAATTCAAATTATTGTTTCCTTGTATAGATATTTCATATAAAGAGTAAGTCTAGAACTTTGAAGCCACAAAGACTGAAGTATAAATCTAGGCTCCATCACCTCGAACAAGTCATAACCTCTCTGAATCTATTTCTTGATCTGTAAAATCCAGGTGATATCTAGAAGGACTGGAGTAAGGAAGGCTACTATGTAAAACTGCTTATTAAGTAACAGGCATCCATTCAACTATGGTTACTATTTTTTGCATAGTTTGAGAATATAAATAGATTTTCTTTATGGTGAGGAACTACAGTATTAGCTTTCAAACTTTAACTGCAAGTATTCGTACTATGACAAGTATTTTTCACATTGTGACCCTTAAAACATACACAATATAGCAAACCAAAACCAAACCCATTGCCTATGAATAGATTCCGACTCACAGCAGTACTAAAGGACGAGTAGAAATTCCGCCATGATTTTACAAGGCTCTAATCTTTACTGAAGCAGAATGCCACATATTCTCTCCTAAAGAACTGCTGGTGGAATAAACAGCCAACCTTTCGGTTAGCAGCCAAACACTTAAACATTGCACCACCAAGGTTCCTTATGTATATTTTTTATATGAGCAAAAGTTTTACAGAACATTTACTTTTACTATGCTCAGTGAACAGTAATATTTGCTACTCTATTCTATTTATTTCACAGGTTTTCAAATGTTGATAATGACCCACTAAACTAATCTCATCCCATTAATGGATCATCACTGAACACTGAGGAATACACAGCCAAGTGATATATTCTACATATAACTATCAAATGAATACTTGATTGACACACAAATATAATTTAACATGAAAAACATGTTCCTAAAAATTTACTTTAAAATTACCTTTTGACAAGGAACTCTGGTGGGGTTGTGGTTAAAACATTGGGTTGCTAACCAAAAGTTGGCAGTTCAAATCCATGTCACCTCATGAGCAAAAGATGAGTAGTCTGCTTCCATAGAGATTCACAGCCTTTGGAAACCATATGGGGCAGTTCTACTCTGTCCTATAGGGTAGCTATGAGTCAAAATGACTCAAGGGCAGTGGGTTTTTTGGTTGGTTTATTTTGACAGTGAATATTTTATTTATTTTGCAACTTGTTATTGTGCTTTGGGTGAAAGTTTACAAAGCAAATTGGTTATCCATTCAGTAACTCACACACATTTAGATTCATGACACTGACTGCAATTCCTACAATGTAACAGCACTTTTCTCACTTCTTCCCTGTATTTATTGTTTCTATTTGTCCTTCTTTCCTATCCCATCCTGCCTTCTGAGGTTTATTTGTGGGCAAATAAGCCTTTTTGATTTTCTATGATTGGTTGTTCTAAAGAGTCCACACCTCCCTGATGTTACTGCTCATCTTACAGAGCTAATGCTGTTTGGCTGAAAGCTGAGCAACACAGGAAAAATATCCTTTGTGTACCAGATATTTTAATATTCTGTTCAATAGTGCCATTATGACTTGGAATCAACTCAGTGGCAGTGGGTCTGTGGAATATAATAGAAATTACAAATATATACTTATATATATATATAAAAAACCAAACCCACTGCTACTGAGTCAATTCCAGCTCATAGCAACCCCCATTGGGTTTCCAAGGGAGTAAAAATCTTTATGGAAGTAGATTGTCCAGTCTTGCTTCCATATATATACATATATTCCACCACTCATCTGTCAGTTTCTTGTACTGTGGTGGCTTGGGTGTTGCTTTAAGGCTCTTTAAGGCTGAAAGCTATGCCACAATTATTTCAAATACTGGCAGGGTCACCCATGGAGGACAGGCTTCAGTGGAGCTTCTAGACTAACACAGACTGGGAAGAAGGAAAGGGCCATTCATTTCTCCAAGAAGTGGCCAGTGAAAACATTATGAATATATATAGATAGATAGATTCACATACACTTTTACAGTACATCTGTTTATTAAGGAATTATGAAAAGTTCAAAAGGTAATAATAAGCAGTCTACTCAATTTCTTAAAGAGTTTTCAAAGGGACAGTACGTCTTTATCACTGCAAATAATCACTGCGTTCACTGCCCAAATTCAGTCCAAAAAAGGACTGCTTTGTAAAGTCTATCCAGAAAAATGAGTTCAGCTGAACCCTGGAGCAATGGGCACAATGAGGGTAGACACAATTCTAACTTTTACATTAAGGATCAATCTCTGTCTCTGACCCTCCAAAGTCCTTATGCATCTTAATTTGCTTAACAATCCATGTTGTTATGTGCCATTGCGTTGTATCCAACTCATAGTGACCTTATGTACAACAGAACAAAACACTGCCAGGTCCTGTGGCAGCCTCACCATCCCTACTATACCTGAGCCATCCCTGCAGTCACCAGGTCAGTCTATCTTGTTGAGGGCCTTCTCCTCTTTTGTTGACCCTCCACTTTACCAAGCATGACATCCTTCTGCAAAGAATGGTCCCTTCTGACAACATGACCAAAGTGGGTGAGACGAAGTCTGTCCATTTCACTTCCAAAGAGCATTCCAGCTGCACTTCTTCAAGGACAGATTTACTAGTTCTTTTAGCAGTCCATGGTACTTTCGGATTTCTTGCCAACACCACAACACAAAAGCATCAACTCTTTGGTCTTCCTCATTCATTGTCCAGCTCTCACATGCATATGAGGCAATTGAAAACACCATGGGTTGTTGGGTCAGGAGCATCTCTTAGTCTTCAAGGAGATATCTTTGCTCTTCAGAACTTGAAAGAGGTCTTTAGCAACAGATCTGCACAATGCAATATATCTTTTGATGTCTTCACTGCTGCTTCTGTTGGCGTTGATTGTAGAACCAAGTAATATGAAGTCTTTGACAACTTTGATCTTTTCTCCATCTATCATGATGCTGCTTACTGGTCCGGTTGTGAGGATTTTTGTTTTATGTTAAGGTGTAATGCACATTGTAGACTGTATTCTTTAATCTTTGTAAGTAAGTGCTTCAAGTCATCTTCACTTTCAGCAAGCAAGGTTGTATTGTCTGTATATTGCAGGTTGTTAATGAACCTTCCTCTAATCCTGATGCAGTCTGTATTCTTCTTCATATAGTTCAGCTTCTCGGATTATTTGCTCAGCATACAGATTGAGTAAGTATGGTGAAAGGATATGACCCTGACACACTCCCTTCCTGACTTTAAACCATGCAGTACCCCCTTGTTTTGTTTGAACAACAGCCTCCTGGTTAGGTAACAGGTTCCTCATGAGTACAATTAAGTGTTCTGGAATTCCCATTCTTCTCAATGTTATCCACAATTTGTTATGATCCACACAATTGAATGCCTTTGCATAGTCAATAAAACACAAGTAAAAAAATCATTCTGGTATTCTTGGCTTTGAGCCAAAACCTACCTGACGTTAGTTAAGATATCCCTCGCTCCACATCCTCTTCTGAATCCAGCTTGCATTTCTGGGAGTTCTCTGTCAATATACTGGTGCAACTATCTTTGAATTAAGTTCAGTAAGATTTTACTTGTGTGTAGTATCAATGATATTGTTCAATAATTTTCACATTCTGTAGGACCATCTTTCTTTGGAATGCATACAAATATGGGTCTCTTCCAGTCGGTTAGCCAGGTAGCAGTCTTCCAAATCTCTTGGCATAGCTGAGTGAGTGCCTCCAACACAGCATGCATTAGTTGAAACGTCTCAATGGATATTTCTTTGATTCCTGGAGTCTTGCTTTCACCAAGTCCTTCAGTGCAGCTTTGACTTCTTCTTCTTGATCATATGTCACCTCCTGAAATGATCACCTACCATTTTTTTTTTTTAAATTGTGATTTGGGTGAAGATTTACAGAGCAAATTCACTTTCCATACAGCAGTTCACATACACTTGGTCTCATCACACTGACTACAATTTACCACAATGCAACAGCTCCCTCCTTCTTCCTCCCCATAAGTTACCTCTTCCCTGTGTCCTTCCCTCCATGCACTCCTGCCCCCTGAGCTATGTCCCGGTGCATACACAGCCCTTCTATTCTCCCATGATTGTTCTCTCCAAGGAGTATATCTACCTAATATAAATGTTCACCTCATATGCCTGTCTCTTCCTTGGCTGGAAGCCACAGCTGTGAGTTCAATTCCAGACCTGAAAGGCAGCTAGGGGCCACAGTCTCAGTAGTTCCTTCAGGCTCTATCAGACCAGCAAATCTGGTCCTTTTTCTCCCCCCAAATGATTTTGAGTTTTTTTCCCACATTGTTCTCCCACTCTATCCAGGATCTCCTACACAGATCCCCCTCCGAGTGGTTGACAGTGGCAGCAGGGCACCATCTAGTTCTGGTCTCACAGTCACAGGATGAGGATCGCGTAGTGTACCAGTAGCTTGGACTATTGTTTCCATAAATTTTTGGTTTTCTTCATTCTTTTTTGCTCTGGACAAGGAGAGACCCATCATTGCATCTAGATGGCTGCTTGCAACCTTTTAAGATCCACTCACTATTCACCAAAGTAGGAGGTAGAATAATGTTTTGTGTAGTACATTATGCCAACTGAGCTTGATGTCCCTTACAACTATGGTCCCAAGTCCACAGGTCCAACTACTCACTCCCTCTGGACAACTGGCTGTGCCGAAGAAGTGACTACAACCTTGTCCCTTGTCAGCTCTACTATACACCTGGGCATTCTTACAGAACATAGCAATACACTTGTCATCTACCAATTCTTTCTGGCATAGTGACTGTGTATTCTACACATGTTCTTTTGATGTTTCCTGCATCATTCAACATATGGACCATGGAATCTTTCAATGTTGCAATCTGAGACTTAAATTTTTCCCTCAGTTCTTTCAGCTTGAGAAATGCTGAGTGTGTTCTTCCATTTTGGTTTTCTTTTCACATTTCAATAATAATAATTGACATTATCTTCTTAAGTTGCTCTTTGTAATCTTCTATTCAGCAATTTTATTCTGTCAATTCTTCCATCCGCTTTAGCTACACTCTGTTCAAGGGCAGGTTTCAGAGTGTCTTCTGACATCCAATTTGGTCTTTTCTTCCTTTCCTGTCTTTTTAATGATCTTTTGCTTTATTCATGGATGATGGCCTTGATGTCATCTCACAATTTCTCTGGTTTCAGTCACTGGTGTTCAATGCATCAAACCTATTCTTCAGATGGTCTCTAAATTCAGGAGGACTTCTTTTAATTGTCTTCATCTTTAACTTGAACTTGCATATGAGCAGTTGATGGTCTGTTCCACAGTCAGCTCCTGGCCTTGTTTTGGCTGAAGATACTGAGCTTCTCCATCGCGTCTTGCCACAGATGTAGTCAATCTGATTCTAGTGTATGTACTCTGTCTGGTGAAGACCACGTGTATAGCCATGACGTGTGTTGCTGAAAAAAGTTATCTGCAATGAATTAAGTCATTGGTCTTGCAAAATTCTATCATGCAATTTCCAATAACATTTCTATCACCAAGGCCATATTTTCCAACTACCAGTCATTCTTCTTTGTTTCCAACTTTTGTATTCCAATCACCAATGATAATTAACACATCTTGATTGCATGTTTGGTCAGTTTCAACCTGCAGATGTTGGTAAAAATCTTTAATTTTTTCATCTTTGGCTTTGGTAGTTGGTGTGTAAATTTGAATAGTAGTAATATTAACTGGTCTTCCTCCTAGGTGTATGGATATTATCCTAGCACTGATAGCACTGTACTTCAGGATAGATCTTGATACATTCTTTGTGATGATGAATGCCATGCCATTCTTCGCCATTCCCAGCATAATAGATCATATGATCATCCAATTCAAAATGGCCCAAACCAGTCAATTTCAGCCCACTAATGCCTAGGATATCAATCTTTATGCTTTCCATTTCATTTTTGACAACTTCCAATTTTCCTAGATTCATACTTCGTACATTCCATGTTCCAATTATTAATGGATATCTGCAGCTGTTTCTTATCTTGAGATATGCCACATAAGCAAGTGGGGGGTCCCAAAAGCTTTACTCCATCCACATGATTAAGGTCAGCTCTACTCTGAGGAGGCAGCTCTTCTCCAGTTCTATTTTGAGTGCCTTCTGACCTGAGGGGCTTATCTTCCGGCACTATTACCACATGGGGTTTCACTGCTATTCATAAGGTTTTCACTGGCCAATTCTTTGAGAAGTGGACAGCCTCTTCCTTCTTCTGAGTCTGTCTTAGTCTGGAGGCTTTGCTGAAACCTATCCACCATGGATAACCCTGATGGCATTTGAAATACCAGTGGCATAACCCCTAGCCTCACAGCAATAATCCATACACTCATTATAATCAAATATATTTAAATATGCCACTTTTAGTTTATATTTCAAAGAAAACTCTCTTTACTTCATAGGACTTATATGTATTATTTTGTATCTTTCAGTACAGAATCTAATGTATTAGTTTTGAAAATGCACTCTATTCTAACAGAGAATGGAGTCAATCTATCTGTTCTAGACTAAATTTTCTATAATTAATGACTTCAAATTTAAGAAAAAAGAGTCTAAAAAGAAACAAACTTTTGTTATTTTCTCTAAATACAGCAATTCTTTCTTCTAGTTCCTATAACATGATTTAATAATTTAAAAATACTGATTGAATCTCCTAATAAGGATCATTTTTTGACAAGCATAAATGCAATTTAAATAAAGCTTTACTTTTTCTTAGAAGTTAAAATAATTTTCTTAATTAGAACAATTTAGCATTTATCAAGAGAATAATTGGGTTGCCTGGTTTAAAATAATCATTTTTACATGATATATGGTTTTGTATGGAGTTCAGATTTGGCAATAAAATAGAAAATTTAGTATTTCCAAATTCTGTAGAATAGAGAATAGAACTTAACTTCTCTTTCTCTAGTCACTTAAAAATTAAAAGAACAACGCTAGTGGGTTTGAACCACCAACCTTCTGGTTAGCAGTCAAATGCCTCAGGCACTGAGCCACCAGAGCTCCTTTTCTTGATTACAGATTATAAATTTAAAACTCTTATAGTAGAATGAACAACATGAAGACCTGGGCTCTAGTCCCTGCTGCATTACTAAGTAGCTATGTTTCCTTGAATAAGTAATTTAACCTCTTAGGGTCACAGATCCTTTAATTATAAAATGAAATTGAATTAAGTTTAACCTTTCATGCTCTAAAATATCTATGTTTCTACTTCACATTAAAATTAACATATGGATCTGATATCAAAATATTCAAACAGCACAAATAACTGTTATAGTTTCTTTACCCTATCTTCAATAACATAAAAAAAGTTATGATTCAAAGAATTGTGCTAAACAAACCTAATTAATATAAACTCAGTTCTGTAAGACTGATCAGTAAAATTAATGTACAACAAAGATAAATAAGGAGATAATCAATCTCAAAGACATTCTTCAGTTTTAAAACTATTTACTAAAAAGCTTTAAATATAATGAAATATAATCCAAAATCTCAATTACATGTAACTTTTTACAAACAGAAACAAAACTGATTCTCAATTATCTGGACTGAACAATTCCACATCAAAATCAGGTATATTTTTAGCCTTAAAACAAAGACCTTGATCACAGAGAAAAGAGTGCGGCTGGAAGTTCCCTCAACTAATTTAATACTCAACAGCTTTAAAATGATCCAATTTATGATAAACTTGTACAGAATTTATACAGTCACTATCAACTACTATAATCAAATACTTAAACAACAGAAAACAAAACATACCAGTGCTAAAGAGGCGAATCATACACTCATGAAGCCAGGGATGACTAGAATCAATAGCAAACGCCCTCTTTACTGATTGAAGCATCAAAAGAAACTTTTCTAAAAAAAAAAAAAATAAAATAAGATTTATTTTGATCATTTGGTAAAATAAGATACCCTCCTTTGGAAAGACCTTACAAATAGAAAAACTAAATTTAGAGTCGATCATATGCGTAAGGCATTAGTCTGCTAACCATAAGGCTGGCAGTTCAAACCCACTAGCCACTCCTCGGAAGGAAGGTTGGGCAATCTACTTCTGTAGTGATACCGCCTTGGAAACCCAAGGAGGGGTCGCTATGAGTCGGGTCTGACTCGACAGCACATAACAACAACAACATATCTACAATATACAGTTGAAGGAACATTAATATTTTTTTGTATTTTTTAAATATAAAAAAATTAGATAGCATTCAGCAATATTTCAACTACTGTCATATAAACAAAATTTGATGCCATTTTCTTCTTAACCTTCTTAAATAAAAATAAGAGATTTTCCCCACCTTCCCAAAGTAGAAAACTCCATGGTGTATGCTTGAAAATATCTCCATTCTTATATTTTGTGACATTATGAAATTGTTTCCCTCCTACCTGACTGCTCCTCTGTTGTCCTGGTTCCTCTTCCCCTTCTAAAAATGTGAGGCATTCACCAAGATTATGTTCTCAGTCTTTTTTCAGTCTCTTTCTATGCCACCCACCACCTTCATTCCCCACTGTTCCCAAGCTTTCCTAATGTTTCCATTTAATGAATATAAATCTGCACTTGCATAGTCACTGTACTTTCATACTCTTATGAATATTTTTTAAAAGGGAAGTTATACTAACTGTTAAAATGTAAGTCTGAAAATTACTAGACTATTTAATAAACTTTGTTTTCCAGATTAGAATAATTATGGAAAACAGAATGTACAGTAGAAAATAATTTAATCACTCAAAACTTCACCAAGAGGCAATCTCTGTTACCTTTTGATCTATTTCTTTCCAGCCACTTTTCTATTTATACAAGTGATGTACAATAAAAAAATTAAAAATAATGCCTTAAGTAGTTTTGGATGTTATTTTGAAACACTGTTACATAGTAACCATTTCCTAAAAGTAATAATTACTTTTGATAAACATAAATTTTAATACTTACTCTGTATAGAGGTATCATTTTATTCACTCTTCCTTTATTAGGATATTTATACTGTTTTATGCAACAATCTTTTATTTGATCTGACTTACTTACTAAGGAGCTCTGATGGCACAGTGGGTAAGGCATTTGGTTGCTGCTAACCAGGACATTGGTTCAAACCTACCAGCTGCTCCATGGAAAGAAGACATACTTCCATGAAGATTTACAGCCTTGGAAACCCAGTGGGGTTGCTATGAGTCAGAACTGACTCTTTGGCAGTGGGCTTGGGTTGTATGTGTGTTTTGGTTTGTGTGTGGTATCTTTTTTTTTTTTTTTCCTAACGAACCTCTTTGGATTATAACAATTCAATACTGTAAAATCTTCTTTGTTGCTGCCAGTTGCCACTGAGTCAGCTCCAACTCATGAGGACCTTATGTGTAACAGAACAAAATATTGCCTATGTGCTATCTTCATGATTGTTAGAATGTTCCTATCTACTATGTAAAGCTTATAGGAACTCTGGTGGCATAGTGTCTAAGGCATTTGACTGCTACTAGAAGGCTGGCAGTTCAAATCCACCAGCCACTTCTCAGAAGAAAGACTGAACAATCTACTTCCATAGAGACACCACTTCAAAAACCCAAGAAGGGGTTGCTATGAGTCAAACTCGACTCGACTATAGTGAATTTGGTGTGTGTGTGTGTGTGTGTGTGTGTATATATATATGTTTACAGTGTATACAGTTTATACATTCTAAACTCAGCAAACAAGATCCTTCATTTATATTTTCCCTGGCTCCAGGCAATATGGACAACCTCAACAACATTACATATACTTGTGCTTTATTAACTGATGTTTTGTCCCTTCTATGCAACTTTAGAAATCTGATCCTTCCCTAAGATTCAACTCAAAGATCACACTTCTATTTATAACAATACTACTAACAGTTAACATTTATTTAATGCTGACTATGTATCAGGAACTGTTTTAAGCTCTACATGTATCCACCCACCCAATCATCAATTCCTACTTCAGTTCCGCTGACTGAACTACCTATACAGTAATTCCCTTTTCCACCTTAAATCATTGTTATGTTTTGATTTACTTGAAGAGGCAACTGTATCTTTGTACCTTGCACAACATTCTGTAAGTATTTCTGTGAACAAGCTACACTGGCATTTGCCAAAAAAAATTCTACCGTGGTGAGGCTATCAGAAATGGATGATCAATTTTATCAGAGACACTATACAGCTGTGGTGGCATAGTGCCTAAGGCACCTGACTGCTAACCAGAAAGCTGGTGGTTCAAACCCACCAGCCAGAAGGTTAGGCAATCTACTTCCATAGTGATACTACCTTAGAAACCCAAGGAGGGGTCACTATGAGTCGGATCTGAGTCGACGGCAGTGGGATAACCTAATTGCCTACCTTTTCTAAAGTAAATCTCAAAGGCAAAAAGATGAGTTTCTATCCTGTTCTTCACCAAGTTCTTCAACGGTGTTAAAAATTTAATAGCTTCTTCCAATGGAGTTTCAACCTAATAAAAATGAAAGATATTATACAAATGGAAGCAAGATTTTGGGGGAGTATGTTTACTCTACTAAAAACATTTTTGTTGTTGTTGTTTGGGCAGGGAAAATTATTTACCAGTTACACAGAAATACACTGTCATATTTTAACTTCTTATTAACTTAAAGGAAGGGTTCTTTGAACTCTACAAGCCTTCATTGACTTTTTTTTTCTAACCATAGAGATCACATATTATTTCTGGATAAACAATGCCCAGTGAGTAAGGCAGAACAAAACACTAGGAAAATAAAGACAGTAAGAGAAACAGGTAAGACAGCAAAGAAAAAATAAAACAAGAGGGATGTGAAATAGGATGAAGAGGTAAGCAGACTACAGAGAACATAACAGGGTAAGTTAACAATCTATAAATTCAAAGAAAGTAAAGTGTAATCAAGCTGTTCAAAATAGTGCAGTATCAAGTCTGTCTTGCTTTGTTCTACTACAAATTCTACAGAAATGCTTAATTAAATGTCATACTAAAGGTGAGGTGGTATTTGAAAAGATACAAACTTACAGAACTCTATTTCTACCAAACCTTTATTAATTATATAAATGTCATATTAATTATATATGTAATGATTACTGGAAAGTGCAATGTTGACTACATAATTGTTATACCTTGCACAGAACAATGAGATAAGGTTATTCCCTGTAGACTAGGGGTCAGGGGGAACAACACTGTAATTATCTGAAGGCCACTGAATATTTGGTTTCTATATTAAATGGCTTCTTTCATCACAGAGACAATAACAATTTACCCTCAATGAAATCTGGATTTGAATACCTGCCCAACATACCTCTGCCAGTAGTTCTACTACCACAGTAACACAATGTTTGGACAAGGAAATTATTTCACAGCATTTAAAAAAAGGAAAAAGTTATACAATGAACTGTAGGATTCATCTTGTCCTAGTGTGCATCATCTGTGGAATTTATTTTGCCCCAGAGTGTAAGCAATGCTGTACAGAATAAAATAATCTATTAAAAACCCAGTTATATTAAAAAAGGGGGGGCCGGGTTTGCTGGTCTGATAGAGCCTGGTGGAATCCCTGAGACTATGGCCCTTAGCTGCCCTTCAGGGCTGGAATTAAACCCACTCCTGGGCCTCCAATCAAACAAAAGATAGGCATTATGGGCTGAACATTTACATTAGGTAGATACACTCCCTAGAGAGATCAGTCATGGGAGAATAGGAGGGCCGTGTATGCACAGGGAGACAACACAGGGAGACTACTCGGGGGACAGGAGTGCATGGGAGATAAGGACACAGGAAAGAGGTAAAACTATGCGGAGGAAGTGGGAAGAAAGCTGTTGCTATAAACAGCAGTCAATATCGTGAGACAAAGTGTATGTGAACTGCTGTATGGAAAATGAATTTGCTCTGTAAGCTTTCACCCAAATCACAATTAAGAAAAAAAAATCCAGTTATAGTTCCAGATAGTGCTTTTTTGAAGAAAGCATGCGCTATATCAGAAACTAATATATGGCATCAACACTCTAATAGCCATAGTTTGAGGAACCATGTGTCCGATGAGATAGAGAAGATAGGGCCCTCATAAATATTCTTTTTTTGCTTCTTGCCTTCATTACTTTATGTTCTACTGGGTTGGAATCTGTGGTGTACCTGGGAGAAACATTCCTACCAGGAACCAGTGGAGAACTGGAAACTGAAATTACCACCCACCTTTATCAAGTTCTTCATGTCTTTAGGTGGTCACTGAAATGAGGGTCATTGTCTCAAACAGAGTAATTTACTATCAGGGAGATAAGACAGCTATTTCAAAATAGAGACAACAAGGAATCAATACAAGCATCATGCTTACTAAAACCAAGTATTTAAATGTGAAGAAAAGAAAGGGAAAAATTGCCTGCAATTCCAATATATGAGAACCCATGTTCCCAAAGGAGGTCTGGGTCTACTGCTCCTACATGTTTTCTCAGTTTCTGTCACCTCCATATAGCTAAGATTTTGTCAGACTAAATCTGAGTATTTTAAAATCTGCTCATGACCCATAATACAAGCTAACTACATGTTACATTTATACATATATAATACAGGATAGGACTCTATATACAGAAGCAAATAAACAGTATTGCATCTTGCTCAGGAATAAGATTCTAAAATCAGTGCTTAAAACAAACAAATATAGCATTGAAGCTATCCTTGAAAGGTCCTTAAATTGTATATACACACATATACACAAGCATGTATTTGAATATATAATGTTAATCTACAGTATGTGTATGAAAACCATCTTTAAGTACCAAAATCACAATCACTGTAGCAAGATGTTCCTCCTATAAGAGGCACACAAGAACTGAGATGGATTAAGACAATGGCAATCATACCTCCCCATCTCATACTACACTGGGGACATGTGTCCGATGAGTAGAGTATCAGATGAAATTGCCAGTATTATGGATACGCTTCTTTGTCTCTCTTTAAAAAAATTAAAATTACAACTAGTCATTAAGAGTCGAATGTATCTAAGTTAAATGCATGTAAAGAAAGAAGGAAGGAGTTCTGGTGGCGTAGTGCCTAAGGCATTTGACTGCTAACCAGAAGATTAGTAGCTCAAACCCACATGCTGCTCCATGGAAGGAAGACTGGGCAATCTACTTCTGTGAAGATTTACTGCCTTGGAAACCTAAAAGGGTGGCTATGAGTCAGAATTGACTCAATGACAGTGAGTTTTGGTTTGGTTTGGTTTTATAGAAAAAAGGAATGCACTAAGTTTCATAGGCAATTTAAAACACCTCCAAGTAAAAAAGTATGCCAAGCCGAGCATTGTGCTCTTTTAAGATCTATTTACATAGGATCTAATTGACAATAACAACTCAAGAAGATTATATAGGAAACTTAAGAGTGCTGAGTTTATGATAATGGAGGAGGAACAACTCAGGAAAAGGAGGGTGATAATACTGCATAACTCGAAGAATGTAACCAATGTCACTGAATTATACATGCAAAAACTGTTGAACTGGGGTATGTTCATATTAAGACAGGGATAAGCTATAACCCCCTTCACTCCCAAGTTGAAATGCTGGCTGGATAGAGGCAAAGAGGAACATGGAATGGGCGGCACATGAAGAAAGTCATAAATACCAACTACTGCCTCATGGTAAGTTGCAGAAACAAGTGATTCAGCTTCCACCAAGACCTCAAATTAACCTAATCATAATGAAACTCTTCCATTTTCCTATTCTCCTTAACCAGAATTACAGGTAACTTAGTAATGATTTAATATTGCTTATTACATTTTATACATTATCCTGAATTGGTGACATTAAATTTACCATTTGATACATGAAAGGATGCTGATCTCAGGATCACTATAAAGCAACTAGAGAGTGTATATCAGACTTGGCAAGCAGGCAGTTTATTAAGCCTACAGCTCCAACCCTGGTTATAATGGCTTGGTATAATTTGGCACTGTCACCATACTGGGAAGTTTGGATGCTAGCAGATGGAGGCATACTGGAGTCAGGTGGCCAAAGAGAAGGGTGATGATAGTATACACAGACTGAATCAGAATGCCTTCCACTAGGCTCCTTGCAAACAAAGCAGTCAGAAACACTTTCTGTAGTCATTATTTTATTCTGAAACTCTACAGCCCAACTGTAAACAACTAGTTCAAAACTTGACACCTGGCCTCAAAGTAATCATTATACGCTGGTCACAAGGAAAGCCAAAAGTCTGAAGGCACACTAACACAAGAATTCTGCTCTGTAATGGTATTCTTTATTAGACAGTGACTAAACAATCCAGATAGATTCTCTCTTAAGAGCTGTAACACAAGACAAGAAGAGTTATTTTAAAATAATAATTAAAAAAAAACCATTAAGGAAAGTCATGGGATACAGGAAAAACAAGCATAAAAAGTGATGGTGGTAGGTAGTCAGTGACAGTGGTGGCGGTAGTTAATAAAGAAAGCCGAGTCATGAAGATGGAATGCCCCTAAAGTTGCTGTTCTCTGAATGACTTTGAAATTCTCCATGAGGCCTAAAAGGTCAATTTTCTGTGCTTTGTCACTCTCTATGTATTCTTCAAATAAACTCTAAAGACTATATTAGTATCCCTGTACCTAGAGGGTATAAAATTATTTGTGAAAAGGTGTCAGTATACCCTTCTGAAAATCTGTTTCTTATGGCAGTACTGCTATGTTTGTGATGTTACTATCCATATGCTCTAATTTTAAAAACATTTTCTATTTGTTTGGAATAATGATTTCCTTTAGTTATAAAGCAATTGAGAAAATAATTTTGAATTTTCAGTTAGCTAAAATTGAACTCTAGGGCCGCTTACTATACTGCTTTAATATAATGTATATATATAATATATTCTACAAGTATTTGCAATGGAATAAAGGAATGTGAAGGGTCAGAAGAAAGCACAGAGATTATGTTATTACTCAAAATGACAATGAATATCCTGGTTTCAGTTTAATGGTTACAAATGGCAGATAGGATTTTGGCTTGGGGGAAATATTTAGGAACTTTAAAAAATTTAAGTCCAAATGGGAACGTCCAGTTATACTTATTAAAGCACTACATGCTTTATATGTTTATTTTCTCTAATCCCCACATCTCTGCCTAGTAGAGATTATTAGTCCCATTTTATAGATGAGGAAATCATCAGAGAGGTTAAACAAAGTGTCCAAGGTCATGAGGCTACAGTGCAGAGCTAAGCACCAGGACCAGATCGGTATGACTCAAAAGCCAAAACATTTTCTACTACAGACAGTCCCCAATTTATGACGTATTTGAGTTATGATGAACCATACTTACAACCACTTTTTTTTAAAAGGAATGGTTGGAATAGAACCAAGTCATAAGTTGGGGACTACCTTGTAAACTATACCAGCAAAGAACAGGCAGGGCCAAGATTAGTATTTCAAGTTTTAAACTTCAAATATGAACAGAAAGGAAGGAAGATAAAAAAAACTAAAATTAAAATGATTTTTGGTTCTAAAGTCTATAATTAAATTGGCCAAATAAGACAGTATAAAAGTACCTTACTCAATTGTGCTAAAACATTGTTATCAAGTACCTTGGCCAGTTTCTCAGGAATAAGTTCCTCTTTTGGACCTCCAATTTCCTCATCATCATCATCTTTCTTCTTTTTCTGGTTTCTCTGTTGCTTTTCTTTTTCTGCATTTTTTTTCTCTTCTTCTATCTGGGCTTTCTTTTGAGCTCTTCTCTGTTTATTACGTAGCTTCTTTAGCTCTTTATCAGACATGTTTGCTGTAGGCAATAAGTATTAATGAAATTATAAATGAGTTAATCAGACTTGCTGTTATTAATTACTCTTATTATTTAATATTTCCATAAAAATAATGCATGGTATATACATACACGTAACTATGTGTACCTACATGAGAACAAAGTAACCTCCTCAAAATATTTTTTGAACCAGGTGGTATGCATGTAAGATGCATCAATGGCAAAGCACACATATTTCTCCAGTAACATATTAAACTACTTGCAATTCCATAAATTTAATAAGCTGTTTTTTAATCGATGACTTTGGACTATGTTGTCCCTTAGTTACATTTTCTCTAACTTGACCATACAGTTGTTCATTCTCTTCTCTGTACTGCCACTGTACATTATATATTTTGGTTGTTACAATAGTTTGTTTATACACCTGTCTCTTCTGTTTTAATTGTGAGCTCCTTGTTGGAAGAGACCTTGCCTTACTCATTTTTATATTCTCAGCGCATAGCAGCATGCTGAAACATACAGAAAAAAATCAAATATTTAAGGAATAAGCAGATAACTATATGGTAAATTTAAATTTCATACTGAGAATTTAACAATACCCCTTAAGGTACAAACTGCAACATCTCAAAAGAAAGATGAAATCACTGATAATAAAATGAAAAATATTTATTATTTAGACTTCAAGCAATACATATGAAAACTATATGTTCAATCAGTATTAGAATAATACACGTTAATAATGAGAAATGTAAAAAAGTCATTCCCAACACCACTTTGTACTCACTATAGTGATTTTAAAAATACGCTCACAGATTCTTCTCTTCAAAAGGTAGTCTTGTATCTCTGCCCTAAACTGTGGGCTATCCTTAGTGACTCATTTCTAATAAACAGAATGTGGTAAAAGTGAAAATGCGTGACCTCAAAGATTAGGATATAAAAACATTGTAGATTTTTCCTTGCTTTCTTGTGAGGAAACCCAAGAAACCCTATGGAAAGACCCATGTGGTGAAGAACTGAGGCCTCTGGCTGTGGCAGTGAGCCACCTTGGATACAGACCCTCTAGCCCAAGTCCTCCAGATGCCCTTGAGTACAACCTCATGAGACACCAACCTGTCAGAACTACTAGCTAAGCCACTTCTGAATTCCTAGTTCACAGAAACTGTGATAATAAACATTTGTTATTTAAAGCTGCTAAGTGTTTTATTAATGTTATATACCAACAGACTTTGGTACCTGAAAGTGGGGGGGTAGTGTTGTAACAAAAACTTAAAATGTGGGAGTTGCTTTGGAACCAGGGAGTGGCAAATGGTAGACAGACTCTGAGGAGAGCTCTAATCAACATTTAAAGTCAGATTGTTAATATAAATCTGGACAATTTGAGGAGGCTGCAGATGAGATACATATTATTTTCATGTAGTGACAAAGTTTAGCAACACCATTATAAAATATATAAAATAAACTGTGGGACCTAGGGAAGGAAAATTCCAGGCAAAGTGTCAGTGGTGTCACTGGATTCTTCTTGTTGCTTATGGCAAAAAATGCAAGAGGAGAAAAATAAACTAAAGAAGGGCAGAGACTTGAGGGTTTTGAAAATTCTGTCTCTCCAGGAATGGCTATTGAGCAAAGATCAAATCCAAGGCATTGCTAGGAAAACATGTCAGTAGGTAAAGCAGAGGGGTTGGCTTTGTGGATTCTACTAAGATTCACTAAAGACCCAGAATGTCTTGAAGAGAATTACATGGGCAGAAACACTGACAATGTGGACTGAAAGAGAGTACAAAATGTAAAGAGGCCTTTGGACCCCACAAAATTTTACTGACATGAAAAAGGCTGAAAAATTACTCTGTTGAAAACAAATGGTAACTTTCAAGGAGATCCTAGACAGAGCAGGAGAATAATGTGAAACAAAACTCAAAATCATAAAAGAGACCAGGTTTACCAGTCTGATAGAGCTTGGTGAGAACCTTGAGACTATGGCACCTAGCTACTCTTCACTCGGTAGCTTCCAGCTAAACATCAGACAGGTATACAGGGTGAACATTTACATCAGGGAGATACACTCCTTAGAAAGATCAATCATGGGAGAAAAGAAGGGCAGTATTTGCACAGGGAGATACAGCTCAGGGAGCAGCAATGCATAGAAAGGAGGACACAGGGAAGAGGTAACTACAGGGAGGAAGTGGGAAGAGAGCTGTTAACACTGAGGGGAATTATAGTCAATGTCACAAAATAAAATGTCCATGAACTGCTGTATGGAAAATGAATTTGCTCTGTAAACTTTCACACAGATAACAATCAAAACTTTAAAAAAAAAAAAAAAAGCATGGCAGTAGAGAAGGAGAAAGATCAAATTTTTTCACCATGTTCAATATACATGCCTACATATACATATATATATATAAAATGCAAGCAACACAATGCACTACCGAGTTGGATCTAACAGCAGCCTCTCCTTGGGGTTCCAAGGCGGTATCTCTATGGAAGTAGGTTGCCCGATCTTCTTTCTGAGGAGTGGCTGGTGGGTTTGAATCTTTCTGGTTAGCAGTCACATGCCTTCAGCACTATGCCACCAGAGCTCATGTATATATGTATGTATGTGTGTGTGTGTGTGTAAAGTATGTATGTATACACACACACGCACACGCACACACACATATATATCCCAAAGATTACTAGTGGTTACCAGGAGTAGGAGGGAGGGGAAAAGGGGAAGCTTTTGTTTGTGGGGGCACTGAGTTTATGCTGATGGTGGCAGAATATTTTGGAAAAGGATAGCAGTAATGGTGGCATAACATGAAAATTATCATCAATGTCCCTGAGCTGTAAATGTGTAAGTTTTTATTTTGGTGAATGTCTTGGTGTGTATATTTTCACAAAAATAAAAGTGAAGAACAAAAAAAGGAACAAAAACAAACACTAACTTCCAAGGAAAAAGAAAGATGACTCAAAGGCAGAACCAATAACTCAAGAAGGCAAAGCCAAGAGCCATAGAGAATTATTCTCTAATTATGACCAGGTATTTAGTACTAATGATACACGGCTGACTGATACCTAGCTAGACTTGAGAACTGATATGAACCAGTAACTCCTATGTGCTTCTTGTTCTCCCCACCTCCCTTTCAGAACAAGAATGCCTACAGTGGTTACCCTATGCCTGTCCTATGCTGAGTGTGTGGTTGGTAGAAAACTTGTCTCTTTAGTTCAAAAGACATCACAAGAACAATACTTAATGCGCTGTTCTTAAGGAATTTCACTCAAGAAGGCTCATCAGCACCTGCATCAGAATAATGTTAAGATTCTAGATTTTGAACTAACACTGTAATAAGATGAGACTTTTGAAGGCTTTGTATTTGGGGGGGAGAGGGTAAGATTTCCCCCACTGTCTGAAAGCAGAACACTCTTATAAAACCTCCTGTAACCTAAAAAGATATAAAGCAAAGCAGCAATTATCAGTAATTTATACAGGAAAAAATTCGGATCATTCTCAGACCCCAAAATTAATCTACCACATCATACCACGTAACAAATAAAACCTAAAATAACACTAACATATAGTGTTCATAGACACAGTTCAAAGCTATGGTGGCTTGATCCTAAGATGCTGAGTATAGTTCCAGGAAAACGAACTTGGTGATGCATTCTTGCTGCTTGGGGTGCACTGGCTCTTTAGTGCCTTTTTAATGACTCACTGCAAAACAAATGCTGAAGCCAGTTTTGATTTTCACCTTTTGTAAAAGCAAAAATCCTCTTCGGATTTCTCTTAGTTAGCAAAAACAGGTACAAACGCAGATCTTTTGAAAATGTGAACTAATACAAAGTGAACTTTTAAAAAGTAGGGGATACCTGTAACGTAATTAATTTTGGGCCAGAAGGTGGCTTACAATATGCCCACAAATTCTTTGATTCGTCTACCATCAAGGCTATGGTTTTGGTGACTCACTCATTTATAACGTGGAGGAGGTGACGACGAGAACAGAACATTAAAGACATTGTGGCTTCCTCCTTGCTCTCTCTCTAATCCTATGGAAAGAATCATACTACAAAGAACTATGCCCTCTTGGGAACAGCCACATGAGTGAGCCATGTCAGAAATAGATCTTCCAACCACAGTCAAGCCTTCAGCAACAGAAAAGAAGTTCTGATACATGTTAGGACATGAATAAAATTTGAAAACATTATGTTGAATGAAATAAGTCAGACACAAAAGGACAACTATTATACGAAATATCTAGAAAAAGCAAATACACAGAGATCAACATTTATTACTGGTTAGCAGAGACAAGTAAAAGGAAGCAATGGGGAATTACTGCTGTTTAAGGTGTACTGAGTTTCAGTTAAGGATAAAAAAGTTTGGAAATGAATAGTGATGACTATTGCACAATATGGAGAATACAATTAATGTCAGTGAATTATACATATAAAAATGGTTAAAATTAAAAATGTTTTATTATAGACATTTTACCACAATAAGGAAAAAAAAATGGGTAAAAGGGCATGGGTCATTTTTAATCATAGTAAACATTCTAGCTTAATCCAAGATGGCTTTTAATGTTCATGCAACACTCACCATTCAGAAATAATAAAGATTCAAGCAGAAATCAATGAAATAGAAAATAGAAGGGCAATAGAAAAAAATCAACAAGACCAGAAGTAGTTTTTTTGAAAAGATCAATAAAATTGACAAATGACTAACAAATTTAACAAAGGAAAAGAGGTAGAGAATACAAATAACATAATTAAGAAAGGAAATGGATGACATCACAACAGAACCAACTGAAATAAAAAGGACAGTATCAGGATACTATGAAGAACTATACTCCAACAAATTTGAAAATCTGGAAGAAATGGACAGATTTCTAGATACACACCACTTACCTAAACTAACACAGACTGATGTGGAAAAGTTGAACAGATCCATAAGAAAAGAAGAAATTAAACAGGTCATCAAAAAATTACCAAAAAAAAAAAAAGTCCTGGCCCTGACAGTTACACCGGAAAATTCTACCGAACATTCAGAGAAG